TTGGTGTAATCACCTTAGCTAATCTCACCATTGACCTGCAACCCATACCAGAGATAGAGGGAAACACGATGGTCAACTCGGTCCTACTCAGGACAGACAGCAGGCATATATTCCAGTATCTTCGCACGTTAGGTACCCTCAGAGCATTGATTAGCATCTGATTTGCTAGATGGGTTACTTCACTTCCAAATCCCAGAGATCACCCAAGTCATGGATGCATTGATCAAGTATTTAGGCGGTGGGATGAAGTACCATAGGCATGGAAATCACCAACAACCCATCCATCCAACCAAAGACAAATTAATGAGTTCCGTTGGCAAGGGATGTAGCCAGCAGCTAAGACACCTGCGTCACTGATTACATGACGATATATTTGGTTACCTCCGGGAGAGTCATAGTTACTACTCGGTTTCTAGCTACTCATGACTTTCAGTAGCATATTTCCGCAAAAGAAACTGTTTGACATGATATTTAGTTAGATGACGTCAGATACTGGGGCTACATAGAATCACAACAATCACAGAACTTGAGATGATGGAGAAGATTAATATCTCAGGATGAATTCCCTGGTGTTTCGGTGCTGTCTGAGCTTTGCTGGGGATGTCTAACTCTATCAAAAAGTTTTCTGTACGAAGTCACAAAATTTAGTGATGAAAGGTTCTCGACAAAATAACAAAACTAAGAGAATGTCGGACCATAATCGTTAATCTATCACTCAAAGGTTGAAATAATAAGCTAACTGAAATTACTTATTTAGAACCAGAAAAACATATGGAAAACATTTCATGTTGCTGTTACTTAATCAACTTGAGTAAATGTGATAAGTCCCCATATCCGTAGAGGAATATATCAAGTGGAAGAAGCGATATTTTCATACACTGACGAAAATAACAATACTCTCAAACTTTGTAGAATCAATCAACCCCGAACTTGATTATAAATGGAGTGTTTGGCTAGCAATGAAACTGATCAGTCATTGGCTGAATGCACTTGCGTTAGTGTACCTACTGAGGCTTAAATTCAGCATACACCATTTCATATGCAAAAATGTTATCCATCAGATTAATGAGTTACATTATAACCGCTGCATTGACACTATGGTTAGGCTGATATTATTTCTTTTTGTCTATTATAGTCCAAACATGGAACTACGTTCATTTCGACTCTCAGACAAAACACTGTCACTTGTCAACTTCCATAACTATCCATACACTTGATTGTTAAATGGTAAGAAATACAGCATGTTGGATTCCCTTGCCAGCTACCACCGAAAGTGTCACAGATTTAATCTTATGAAATATTGAAGCATACACTCAAGGAGGTCAAACACACAGATACACTAGCAGTAGCTCTTCGGCACTGTTCGGTAACTAAATCAGGAGAGGTCCTTAGACAAAGAAAGGAGATGAAGCAGAAATGTTTTTTTTGTCTAGACGTTTCATCCAACATAATTACTTATCTCATTTTGAGAGTCAAATAAAGACGATTAATGAATATACGTATAAGTTTATTTGAACTTTTCGCCATACGAAAGCTATTCAACTGTTTCCTTGGTAAAGGAGTGAGCAATACAACTTTTGAGGTTTATGGGGATTTATTTATTGATTTCAAGTTGGTATACATCATATATTGATATCAGTTGGAGAAGCATTAAAAACCTGCGAGTACTCGACAACTGACTTGTCCTGAGAGAAGCAGTAAAATTTGTATCATTGGATTCCGACCTCTAAAATTGAAAACTACGCAAACCAAATATCCTTCTCTAACCAATAGCCTCACTTCTGGGAACCCTAAATTGCAATCTATCTAGAAACCGTTTGCGGAAACTAAAATACTTTGTACAGTCATACTGATATTTTATAAGTCACCAACGAAACTCTTAGAAAGGATCAAAAGTATTAACATAAAAAAAGACGAATAAATCAGATCCAACGATGTCACATTTTATACATCAATCGAATAACAACTAACCACGGATACACTGTCAACCCTCTTCATCAATCATACAACTCTTCCATAAAGCACAAAAATTCAATGTTCAAGTCTCATGGAACTCACTGATCTTCATCTGACAACATACTTCCAATTCAGTGGCAGGATATATAAACATATGAAACGAACTACAATGAAATCATCAATATCCGGATTGATTACAGAAGCACTGACTGATAGCCATCATTCTACATGTGATCAAACTGAAAAACTGGATCCACTATGTGGACGATACTCCAGTCATCGTTGAAGAAGATGATTAGGAAAACGCTTACAGTTTGATCAACAACATTTTCAGTGATATCGAATCGACAATGAAGAAGAAGAAGAAGAAGAAGTCGGCCAACCAACTGCCAATCGTGGATGTTTTATTCAATGAAAGAAATGTCGGAAAACTGGTACACACTCATCAAATCCTCAACTAGAATAACAACAACCCAACAGCATACGGAGTTAGTTGCGTACAGACTCGATTCGAAGGAGTGAGATCACAGTGCAGTACAACAACTTCACTACCCACAAAACGTTATCACAAGATTCCTATTCCATTCTTCCACAGAAATCAACAAACGCATCATCCTACCATGCATAAATAATATATCAGAAATCACGACAAGATTACTGAGACCAGTTGGAATTGAAGTGGCTCATAAACTGACAAATTCCCTCCAAACACTACCCTATTATGCAGACGAAAGAACGAAACAGTCAAAGAGGACAAACCAAATATCATTTAGAAAGGCAACTGTAATGATTGTATTCAACACTACACTGGATAAAGTGGTCGTCATCGTCGCCCTCTTTTATATGAGCATCAATTGGCTATTAAACATGTCACAATATTCCATCGCTGATTTCATTTCATGTCGAAAATGTTGGTTGGAGAGAGGAAACTCAAAGAATATCAGAGAATTCCAAGAAGTCAAGCAGAGGAACAGTCATCAATCGAAGGAAACAGTCAATCACAAACCTGTTTTTCATGTCAAGTTACTGAATCAGTCACTCACTCAGAGATACTGACAGGTCACTTCATACTGAAGTTAGTGCTGATGATGTCATCTAGAAAGATGATGGAAACTCTACGATTAAACAACCCACTTCAGAGAACACAATACAATCAGCTCCTATCAAATGGAATTTAGTCACTATCCAACACTTAACGGTATGAAATAGTTTGGTCTCCAGTGACCGGTCAATTTATCCAATTCAGTCTTAAAAGAGGTGATTCGTGACACGAATAGCACACTATCTATAACACAATGTGATCGGGGGGAGGGGACATGACTTCCTTTAAGATCGCAGATACGCTTTGTTGACAAGTTCCAACATCAGCTAATCGCCTAACATATGAATCACTTACACTTTCCTCAAAATAATACAATTAAAAAATGCGAAAATTCCCATTTAGACATTTAGTAAAACAAACAATATGAGCGAAGAAATATTTCTTTTCAATTAGTTCCTCATCAATGGCTCTACGCTAATATAGCATTTTGACGAAGAGCTTCAAATTATCCACGATCTACTCAGTAGTAATGGATATCTAGAAACGTTCCTGGCTAAAAATATGAACACATCCAATATGAAAACCAGAATGCCTACAGTCTCCAAGAAACCATTGTTCTTAAGACTACAATTTCGAGGTCATATCATCAACGAAATTGTGACACAACGCTTAAGAAATGCCCTTAGAAGATCATTTAATGACGCCAAGTTATGTTGTGTTTTCTACAGCCGGCAGATGATGACCACACGAACTAAAGACAGACTGCCTGACTTCTCTTCTTCTATGTGTATTTACCAGTTCAACTGCTCCTGTGGAGCCAGTTACATTGGACGTACAGTTAGGCAAGTCCGTCGTCGAATTGCCAAGCATCATCCTTCGTGGCTAAGTAAGGGGGAAACCAAATTGACACGAAGCTCAATACTCTCTCATCTGATTGACACCAGCCACCGAGTTAACATTTATAATGCCTTTAAAATTATTTATCACATTCCTTCTCACCTCACCTATCCTCTACGAGTTTGTCTTTTACATACAGCAGAAACCATAGGAATCCACCTACACAAGCCAAGTCTGTGTGTTCAGAAGAGATTTATACAGCCTCTTTCTTTGCCTTGGCCATCTGTATAGCTCATTTATTACAACAAGACTCTTCATTTCATCCACCACACAATTCGCTATAACTAATATTTTAATAGCTCCATTATTATTATTATTATCACAGACTTAACCATCTTTCTCTTCCCCTACTGTCTCTAATTGCCGTCAACAATTTACCATTTTACGTAACAGTTCATTTTTGCTCTTTAGTTATCATTATACAAAATATCAACTATGTAAGAACCTGTTCACAAAATCTTTCTACGATAATTAATCTTTGCTTTAGTTAACACTGATCCCTAGAAGTACGGGATTTCCAATAAACTACAGACATTCATCAACAACTGCTTACGCTCGCTGCTGAAGATCAGATGGCCAGAAAAAATAAGCAACAAGGAACTCTGGGAACGAACCAACCAAGAACCTATCACCCAACAAATATGCAGGAAGAAGTGGAGATGGATTGGGCATGCACTGAGAAGGCCGACTGAGGACATCACACGTCAGGCCCTCGAGTGGAATCCCTATGGGAAGCGACGAGTTGGACGTCCAAGGGTGACATGGATGAGGTCGTGCGAGGAGGAAATGAGAGCTTCTGGGCTGTCGTGGGACCAGGTTCAAAAGATCTCAGAGAACAGAGGTCACTGGAGACGTGCTACTGAAGCCCTATGTTCCACTAGGAACTCAAGGGACTAATATATAACTAATATATATATTAGTTAACACTGTCTTAATTACCTGATCAATTATCACCTTCTTGATACTATGAGATTAATAACCTAAGCTTAAAAATACTATATTAGTGTATAGCCATTGATAAGGAACTAATTGAAAAGAAAATATTTCTTCGATCACAATTAAAAAAATGTCATCGACTATGAAGACTTCTAGAAGAAAAACTTACCGCTAATTTTATTGATAATTCTTTCGACATAATAACACCTTTTTGAATTTCTATCTCTGCCATTGATCTAGTACATCGTTCTGTTCGAAAACTGTATTCTTGTTCAGAATCAGTGTTATTTTTAAATGTTGTTGAGAATAGTGTATGCAATTTTGGGAGTTTAACAGTGACATTATCAAAATATTCTGGTTTCTCATGTGTTATATAAATATCATCCCATATAAAGCGTAGAATAAGTTCAACAGGATCATATTTTTTCTGTTCTTTACTTGCTGTTGTATGAAACATATTGATAGCCCATATTTTCAATTGATTTGGTAAATCGAATAACTCAGGTTGTTGTTGTTGTTGTATAGGAGGCCTCCTAGGCGATACTGGCGGTACTCGATTCATTTTTATTTATTTATTTGTTTAAATGAATTCCATAGACAAATTACTTCCGTATATATTGAACAAATTTCAATATATGCTAAAGGTCAGATAAAAATATTCCTCCGAAAAAAGTAATCGACTCACCCACCCACTTGTTCCTTCAACCCTATTGGCTAGTAATTTCATATTACAGTAGCGAATCAAAAGTCAAATTTGTACAAAATCGGTGTGTGTGTGTGTGTGTGTGTGAATGTGTTACTTCTGTCTGTTACTATCCTGAAATGTTTCACTTGTCGTCATGATCAGTGGTGTAAAACATAAGGAAGATTATGAAAAATGTCTACATTTATACGTGTGTGGGTGTTTACATTAGTGACAATTATCCCCCTATATTGCTTGTTACATAAGGTAAATAAAAATGACTAGATAAATGGGATATATAATCCGTTACCATCAGGATGCTTTTAATAGAAACGTGTATAATTTATTCATTTATTCATCCAAGTTTTCATTCGATCTCCAACAAATATCATACTGTGGTGAATGCCAATTTGGAACTATATAAATTTTCGATACTGATGATTAAATCAGACTTGGCTATTAAATTCTAGAAAGAAATTTCATCCCGGTATGATACAGACTTCGACGAGGATTTGGAGTTTATATGCAACAGAAGCAAAGTGACTTTAACCATGAATTCTTTCACGAAAAATTGTAACCTTGTTCAACATGGTTAGCGTTTTGTACTAGCAAATTTAGAATAATTGGTCTCTATCGGCAAATGGGTTCCTATGCGAATGTCAGACATTCCTGTGATGCGTAGTGGCCAGTAGTGAAACCCAGCTGGATAGACTTTTCTTCCTGTTTAAAACTCATCAGCTAGATGTATCTGCCTCTCAGGGAGAGGGTTTATTCCCACTAATACGCGGACTGGAGACCTATCACTTCAAACGCTAAAGGGTTATCGAATAGGCCAACGAGTCACAATAGCCACTTCTTGTGTAACGGGTGTAATTTTAATTTTCTTACTCAGTCTCCACTTCTGGCTACTATCCATTGGTACTATAACACTTGTAACAACAACCTACAGAAAAGACAGATCACTGCATGTAGAACGTAGACAAAAAATTTAATTATCTAGACAATCTGGAGCGCTCAAGAGTTTCAACTGTGTTTCCCGACTTTCAGATATTGGACGATATTTCAGAATAAATCTGTTATTTTGGCTTACTCAGAAATAAGGCTGAAAGTGATTGAGATTATTGAGAACATTACACGGGTACACAACTGTATCAAGTGTAATAAGACATTCACCATCAAAATATCAGTCAGTGGACAAAAATTGCCAATTCACAACAACTGCAACATCAACACAGATATCCAAGAGCTTGTCAGACAGCAGTGTCCGTAAGTATGATATGCGGTTTACATAACCAAAGTACAAAGTACTATTGCATGATTAACAGGAGTTTGTGCCTACGTTCACTCTTCACGGTAAACCTGTGGAAGTACTCAACAGCTTCGTGTATCTGAAAAGTTATGTTACTCGTGAAATTTACAACCGCATATCCAAAGTCATAGTAGAATACGTCAATCCAGGACACTTTCAGCACCGTCATGACGTTAGTCTGAAAGTGAAAGATCGGTTTCACAACGCTTCGAAGCAAGCAGATCTGACCCACACTCTGTCAAATCTGGCCTCTTCAAATTGAGGATGTGAAACACTTCTGTGTGTGTTCAATCATCGTTGTCTCCGTAAGATTGATGGTATCTGGTGGCAACACAATGTAAGTAGGTGATTGTGAGGTAGGACAGCTTGTGTTTGGGCATGCTGGAGATCGTGATTCACTAGGTGAAGTCATCTTGAAACACCAGTTTCAGTGATCTGGACATGTGTCACGTATGTCGTTTCAACGGTTTCCACAACATTCATTGTTTGTTAACCCTGTGACAGGATGTAAGATGTTGAAATGTTGGTGATTGTATGAAGTGGTTTCATGGGATGAAAGAGAGTTGTATTGTGTTAGCATCTGTTGGTGCACCATGACTCCTTCAGTGGGGTCTGAGAGATCAGATACGACTGAGAAGGGGAACCCGTCGGGATCATGCCGTAGCTTCTTTCTACTTTTTGCTGTTGGAAAGTATTGAATTCTCCGTTTTGAATGTATCTTACTGGACTGCCCCTTTCTTATCATTCTATTCTTAATATGTTTTATTTCTATCCACTTCCCTTCGCTTCATGTCTTCATAATGTTGTTATATTACTTTTTTGGCGCATTTCTTGGTAACCTTGCTACATACCACGTTTGCGTCTTAATAATAATAATAATAATACAGACATCTGTGACTAAGTGATCTAGACAGTTACTTTGCAGCCAGTTTGTATCACGGGTTAGAACTAGTTCCATTTATCAAGGTTTTGTGGAGCAAGGTAGTATCATTAAACCTAACACTAAGTAGGTGAGGTTCATTTTCTGACGCATACAAGTACTTGTGACCTCATACAGAGTTCTACGTCTACGACAGACAAGGCATATACTGCACCTATACACAATGTCTTGTCTATACATTCATAAAGAAACTACATATATGATTAGATATCTTCTTCTATATTTTGAAATCATCAGTCATTGACTGAGTGTGTTTGAAGAGTGTATGTGAAGTTGTAGATTCTTGCTTTAAATTTGACAAATGGTCCAATGTACACTCTCTTCAAGCATTGAATATCTAGTATTCACCCTACGTTATAATTGTTAAGAAATATGCTAACTTCAATTGAACCACTGCTGTATAAGATTTTTTCAAGCACTGCAAACTGTGTATCCCATATAGATCACTATGTATGACTATTTTATTTTTTGTCCCTTCGGTTCCTATTGGAACGTAGAGCTTCAGTAACACGTCACCATTTCACTACCTTCTATGCAGTCTTCTTCTTCAACCTGTCTCAACCACTCTTCATAAGCTTGCATTTCTTACTCACACCATTCCTCTATGTCACCCATGGCTCGGACGCTCAACTCGTCATCACCCATTTGGCTTCCACTCAACGGTCTCACCTTTCACCTGACGTCCCATAACCGTCTTCTCACTCTATGTCCAATCCATCTCCACTCTCTTCCTCTCCATATTTCTTGGGTGATAGGTTGTTGGTTGGTTGCCAGGACGGAATGAGTTCCTTCTTGCTTATTCTTATTATTCTCGCCATCTCATCTCATCTCATCTGGTCATCAGTGTCAGTATTGAGTGAGTGTAGGCGGCAGCTGTTCATGATGTATGTGTGGAGTTTGTTGTAAATGCCACATGGAAGCAAGCACTGACTTGACTGGCATTAATATTGGAAATCCGGATTGTGTTGTTTATGCTGAGTGGAGTGGAGTGCAGTGGAGTGTAGTGGAGTGCATCTCAGTAGATCTCCACACAGATTTCCGATTATTGCAGGGAGGCCTGTCTTACTGTCCTCCCAATCCTGGCTGGCTTTCACATCCTCATCTGTACCTGTGCCTATGTCACCGACTGTAGTTGAAACGATGCTGCCTATTTGGGTAGGTGGATGGGTGGGTAGGTAGGTGTGGGGTAGTAGGTAGGTAGGTGTGAGGTGGTAGATAGGTAGATAGGTAGATAGGTGGGTAGGTGAAAGAGACAATTTCCTCCTCTACATTCCTCCCGTTGATGGTGACTGGTGCTTGTTGTTGTTGTTGTAGATTGGTTGTGTATCTTCATCACCTGTATCTTTTCTACGTTGACCTAAAGGGAGTCCCGTCTCCACTGCCTCCTCCCACATCACCTCTTCTATCAACTTCTTAGTTTTCTCCTGTATATCTTCCTGTTTGTGCAACATTAAACGTAAATCATCTAGGGCTTAATGCAAATCTTCTAGTATCGTTTTATCAGTCTGGCGTGCGTTTACCCATCTTCCCACTCCGCCTCACAGTTGTTTCTTCCATGATACAGTCCAGTTCAGTCGACCACAATCAAGAAGATCATCGGTGATAGTAGGCGGCAACATTGTCTTACTCCTTCCCGTCTTCACTTCAAAGGCATCACTGAGCCTTCTGTTGTCAATCACTTGGTATGTAGCCTCATCATATAGCATATAGCTGCTGTTGAATGAGGTTGATAAGGATTTGTGGCACTAGAACCGTATTGTTGAAGCGACTGCTTGCTAAATTACTTCTCAGTCGATGTTGTTGTTGGTTGGGTATATTCATCACCTCTGTCTTCTTTACATTTACTTGAAGTCCCGTCCTCGCTTCTTCTTCTGTCAACTTGTTGGTTTTCTCCTGGAGACCGAGTTTCATCATCGGCGAAACCCAAATCCATTAGGCTCTTTTCATTGGGCTAGCGTATACCCATTTTCTTGCTCTTCATGGTTCGATGCATGATCCAGTCCACTACAATCAGGAAGATGATCGGTGATAGTAGGCAGCCTTGTCTTACTCCTGTCTTTACTTCAAAGGTGTCACTGAGCTTTCCATTGGAATTACCTGGCGCGTGGTGTTTTCATATAGCTCTTGAATGAGGTTGATAAGGACTTGTGTCACTTAAACCGTAGCGTTGAAGCAGTTGCCTGCTAAATTACTTGTCGTTCGACTCTGTCAAAGGCCTTTTCACAGTCGATGAAGTTGAGGTAGAGAGTTGACTGCCATTCTACACTCTATTCTATGGTGATGCATAGTGTAGCGTTGCAATTTGATCCGCACATGATTTGTTCTTCCTGGGGCCACCCAGCCAGCCTGTTCTGGTCGCAATTTTGAATCCAGTGCATACTTTAGTCTCTCCAGGATGGTACGGCATAATATTTTCATTGCTTTCAGTGGACAGCAGCATGATTCCTCGCCAGTTCTTTCAAAGGCTTTGGTGTCCCCTCTTTGGGAGTTTGGCAAGGTACCTTTTCTGCCTTCGTACATATGCAATTATTTTGCAACTATAAACCATACAGAAATGAATAAGATGTCAACAAATAATACTATAAAACCTTAACCGTAGATAAAATCTGACAATAATGCTAATGAAAGTTTCTTATTTTCCTAGATCTTATGCATTATGTCGCAGAATCCTATGAAAATGTTATCAGATTATAGACTTGAAAGTTATGTCTTTTTGAAACTATTGTTGGATCCACTAAGAAC